AAATAGAGTTACATAACTTCACTTTTATCGATATTTTTATCGATACAATTATCAATATTTTTGATGATATAATTACCGGCATTTTTAAAGATATAGTTTTGTCGATATAATTAACGATGTAGGTATACGTCTTCCAATTACTATTCAACGTACTCGTGCTACCTTACAAATTTCGGACACCGATGAATTTATCGGATTGCTTATCACCATATCTATTGTCTTCGCTATCGATATATTTATTCATTTGTCGACATCATTATCTATATCTAGATTCGTATTCATAAAGATATAATTATTATTTTAATCACCAATATCTTGCCCATTTAGCTATCCATTTATTTATTAGTAATTCTCCAACCATCGGCTTGTGTATTATTTTCCATTTCAGCTGCGATATCTCTATAATTATCGATATACAAACATATTTATTGAAGACTCTATTTCGTATTCGTGTCCATTTGCATACAAACCCAAAGCACTTTCAGTAGCCAATATTGCTCTTTGGTCTTTTTTGTTTAGATCATACCACCCCAAGTTGACAGCTGTTAAAAGTTTAATGTATGTATGTACACTAAACCGTACTAGAAAGAAAAGTTCGCCATACACATCCAAGTCTGAAGTATTTTTGCATGGAAATTTTGAAACAAAAATAATTTCAGTCGAAGGTGAGGGTCGCACTTTTATACTTTCATCATATATTCGGCAATTTTAGTCAGATCGTAAACCATGATATATAAATTTTTTTGTTCCTGACAACAATCACCACCTTAAATTGCTTACCCACCTTATCTCAGATCCTAGAGACCTAACATACCACCCTAATGTCAGTAAATAAAGCTCTCCAGAAAGCAATAAGCTTTTGCCAAGGAAGTACTATGATTCTTCTGATAGGGTGGGGGTTGGGGTGTCCCAACGTGTCATCGAAAAAAGTATTTTTTTTTGTTATATCCTTTTACATCTTACTCAATTTCGACACAAAAAGATGTCAGAATTACGTTGATTTTTTTTTTTTTTTTTGTAAGGTTGTACGGCCTACTGTTCACAGGTATATGAAAATATTACGTCAACTTTTTTATTAAATTATATTTTTATTTTAGTTATCGTTGAGCACAGGGTGTGGTTTCTAGAAGTGTTCATAGCTTTTGATTTTTACATGATCGAGTAATTATTCTTTAAGATCACTTTTTTTTGTTTGATAACTCCTAAAAGACGAGAAAGGTTACGAGAAAACAATTTTACATTCCTGAAACACTCATATAGTATATAAGTTGTGATAATGAATTGGAACCAATTTATCTTATATTTGTGACACGCTCTAATGTGCACAACACTCTTCAATTGCTTAGCCACATCTCTTACATTTAATTAACTTTTTACGTTGTCGCCAACACGTTCTAGCTTATGTACATATAACAGCTATTATTTTAATAATTTAGGATTTATTTAAAATATTTGTATACCTAGTTTAGTGATTTCTATTTTCCCTAGCGCTTTAGTTATGTACTTGTCAGCAATAAAATTCCTGTATATAGTCCCACCTTTCGTTTTCTCGCATTTCATCTTCTAATCGCATTAGTAAAAAAAAAAAA